TAAATAAGAGTTATGGTTCCAATTACAGTCTATCGATTAAAAAAATTGTATGACAGTTTAAAATCCAAAATATTTAAATGACTCCACAAATGTGTTCGATTTACACCAAAAGCAAAGAATCAAACGATCGAGAGCGAGAGCGAGACCGAGAGTTCTAGAACAATTGAATGAGAGCACTTTTAATAACTCATGGTGAATATCAGTTTGAATCTCACCTTGGGGGATGAGAAGAAGACATAGAGGTATGAGAGGGTGAATGCATGAGTAAAATGTGTCAAAAATATATTGGAAATATGAAAAAAAAAATGTAATAATGTGCATTGATAACTTGTACTATATATTATTTTAATAGTAGATTAAGAAATTTTAAGATTGAATGCATAAAGTGGTAGTACTTAATGCATTATGAGTTGTTTTTAAGACTTTGTGCATAAATGTATAATACTTTATGCATTAAAAGTTGTTTTTAGGACTTTTGATAAATATGGTTTATAAAATAGTATTGATAACATTTTGTAATAGGATTGCTAGATAAAAATACTCTTTGATTAGAAATTTTATTTTAAAAATATAAATACCCAAAAAAGGGAATTTCAAAGGAAAAAGGTTACGGTTTTTATTATACATTTATTCTATTATCGCTTTCCAAATTTAAATGGTTCTACTTTAAAATAAACTTATATTTATTAAAAAAACAAGTACAAGAACTTACTTATACGTATATTTTTTTTGAAAAGCATATATACTAAAACAGAAACAAATTCAAACTAAAGGCATCTGTGAGGAGCGAGTTGATCGTCAATCAACCAAAGACCCAAAAACCGAACGCAAAAAACTGAACCGAAAACGACCCAACAACAACGAAAGCAACCCACACAAAAGGAATAAAATAAAAAAGTAGAGGTGGATGGGGATTTTATCCAAGCATCTCACGGGATCGGGAAAGAGGAGCATCTAGACGAAGTCGTCCAACTGAATGACCTTGATTGAATATCACCAAAAATATCTACGTCAAGAGTTTATGTTCTCCAAAGGAAATACGTGGATGTCAAGATTACCACTTGCCGAAAGACTTTAAAAGCACCAGAAACCTGATTGAATCCGTCAAAATTTACCATATTAGACACCAAGACTGGCATAATGCAATTATATTCCACCACTCGAAGATGCATTCCAAAGAGCTTTTGCCTTGTAACAACCAACCAACAAAACGATGATCCATCGACACGATGAAATTCATGCACATCAGGCAAAAAGTTGAGTGTTGTAGCTCGATTCCTTTATCGTCTAATTTTTAAAACCTATGAGCAATGTTACTGCCAACAAGATTGATAGAAACGTTTTGTAATCTGGTTAAGACTTCAGCAAGGTCACTGATAACCCGCCCTCTAGGACTACCAGACCAGTCCCAAATCTTCTCCCACTCTCGTTCATTCGAAGCCCGACAGACTTCGGCATCCAGATTAGCATCGAGCTGAATTATGTGAACGTACATACTGTTATAAGTAAAAAAGTTATTTTAGAAACATATTATAATTTTTTTTTTGTTTCTGATATCTTGTGGTAAACTTAAAATGAAGTTTTTAAATGAAAACTTTAGAGTAAACTACAAACTTGGTCCATTTTGTTTGTCGCAAATGACATTTTTTGTCTCTTTAGTTTCAAAATTACAAGATTGGTAATCATGGTTTGCAAAAATATCTGGATCTAGTTCCTTTTCTCTAACGGCTGTTAAAAATTCCGTTAATTAAAGGTATTTTTGTTCTTTTATAGATTTTTTCGTCCCTGTCGTTTTTATTGTTTAAAAGACAAATTTGATAAAAGGGCGAAAATGTCATTCGTTTAATGGAATTTTTAACAACATATTAAGAATGGACCAGATTCGGATGTTTTTGCAAACCATAATCTTTATCTTGTAATTCTAAAACTACATTTGATGAAAAATTCGTATTTTACTTCAAATTCTATAAAGGAAAATAAAAAGAAAATGTATTTTATTTTGATGCAATTTATTTATTTTAATAATGAGAGAATAATTAATGAAGTATGAAAAAAAGTCAAAGGGATTGAAAAAGAGGAGACTTTTCAACTGAATTCTCACATTATTCCTAGGATTTCCAGAAATTGTTGACCATAAAAATAAACCATTTATTTATTTTCATTTTTTTTAAATTTTATTTTGGACTTCATTAAATCCATGACCCTTTATATTTAAATGATTTTTGTTTAAAAAATAATATATATATTGCTATTTAAAATATTTGTTTATAAAGTAATATATAGAGAGAGAAAGAGAGATAAGTATTTATTAATTAATTAAATAATATTAACTTTGTTAATCGATTTAAGTTTCTCATTTTTTTAATCAACGGTTGTGATTTGAGAGATTATAATCTAATAAAAAAGAAAAGAAAATAAATTATATTAATTGAATGGCAATTTTAATAAACTATTTTTATTTTGAAAGATAATGAATAATATTAATTAATGATTTTTAATTTTCGAAAGATATTCATATTTATTTTTGAAAAATAATCAATAATAATATTTAAATAATTTTTGTTTGAAGATAAAATCAAAAAGTTAATAGGTGAAGTCAGAAAGTGAAACAACGATTTTTGTATAAAATTTATAGGTGAAACTTAAAAGTGAAACAATAATTTTTACTTAAAGTTCATAGGTGAAACCAGAAAGCGAATGGGATGATTAAAAATGTTTGAACATGTTCATAGGTGAAATCGAAAATTTCACATGTGAAAACAATTAAGTGAATAGATAATTAAGAAATATAATAATTAAGTGAATAAGATAATTAAGAAATGTAATAATTAAGTGAATAAGATAATTAAGAAATGTAATAATTAAGTGAATGAGATAATTATTGAATGTATTAATTAAGTAAATGAAATATTTAAAGAATATGATATCAATATATAAAAAAGACAAAAATACTCCGACTAACAAATTTAATACTAATTGTTTGGTTAACAAAAGAAGGCGGCCATATATACACCTTAATTCTCTTTCTCACATAATCTTGTGCCTATATATATATGTATGTGTGTGTATGTATATATATATATATATATATATATATA